CAGTGGAGCAGAATCGGACCTTTTCTGTTAATCAGTGCCGGCTGCTGACGAGATAAATCAGTGATCAATAAGTGAAAATCTCTTAAGACCTTCCTTCATGTTTGAAAAAACCAATGCAAAACTAATTGGTTTTAAAGATTCAACTATTGACAGATTGGTGGTGGTTGAAATCGTAATTCAGATACTGTCCCATTTAAGTTAGGATTCCATGTAGAGGCTGCAGTTTATTTTGACATTCGTCCTTTTTCATGAATATTATGGATGGTACTCGTGATGCATTGTTTGGAACCTTCGGTGTAGTAATGAATGTAATTGGAGTTTTATCCCAACACCAAATCGTTAGTTTGACACCTCAGTAATCGAAACTCGTGTTGAATCATTGAATAATTTTCACTTTTTTTTCATGTCAGATGCGTTTTGCTAACACTGTAACTTCATTACTGCCAATGAATCTACGGTGTTGGAGCGAAACGCGTCTGGAATTCGAAAAAAATTGTTGAAATTGTTTGATTATTATCATAGATATGAGTTTCGTAACATCGTACAAATGTATTCCGCCCAAACATTCTGACAAGATAATCTCTTAGAGAAATATACACGCTCCAGTTTCTCATACATGTCAGAACGGTAAGTCAAAAGACGGTTATTTATTTCTTCTACCATTATTTACTCGGCTCGTGTTTATATTGAAATCCTGCGAATCACCAACCACGTAATTCACACCGTGAAGTTTTGTAACTCATATGAATGAAATTCAAACGAAACAGCGTTCTTCGCAAGTAATTTCTCAGAATCGCAATAAGCTCCCTTTCGACAAACAATTGAAAACATCGACAAAATTTTGTAAATTTGTTTTTTCGAAAATCAGAGAAACCAAATCACTATAAAACGTTTTCACTGAACGTCAAAGTGAATAATTTAATTATAATGATAATAATAATGATATTTCAAGTGTTATTTGTAAGGTTTGTTCGATTGATGATCTATCCATTTCATTTCATCTTAAAATAAGATGAATGAATGTAGTTTAAAAAACTAAAAAATACACTTTTATAGAACATCAAATTTAAAAGTTGAAATGATGATGAACGTCAAAGTGAATAATTTAATTATTATGATAATAATAATGATATTTCAAGTGTTATTTGTAAGGTTTGTTCGATTGATGACTTATCCATTTCATTTTATCTTAAAATAAGATAAATGAATGTAGTTTAAAAAACTAAAAAATACACTTTTATAGAACATCAAACTTAAAAGTTGAAATGATCTTTTTTGAATGAGCTTGAAACAATAATGACCGAAAAATACTAATATTTTTGTGAAAAAAGCGAAGGACGCCTGATATACAAAAATTAGGCATAAAGTGCCCACGCTTTTTCACAATAATACTTGTATTTTTGTTAGTTATTGTTTCAAACTTATTTAAGAGAAAAATATTTTAATTTTTTCAGTTCGATTTTCTTTGAAAGCGTATTTTTCAGTTTTTCAAACTATTTATATTTATTTTTCTATTTTTAGTTTCATATGCTATAGAAGGGCGTTTTCCAGAGTTTTTAAACTATATTTATTAAAAAAACTGATAAATAGAGTTCATTCCTTGATTTTCACTATAAGGGTTTTACAAAAACCGCGACACATATTTCGCTATACAATAGCTTCTTCAAGCATAACTGATAATTACTTCTAAATCACACCTTATATACTATAACCTTGTACCTATTCGTCTACCTAAGTAATAACTCTACCTGAAAAAGTCAGGTATCAATACATTTTTCGAAAGCCTACATGTAAATATACCTATCTATTATTACCTGCGTATGAACAAATTCAATAAAGGCGAATTATTCAATTCAGTTTGATCGTTCATGAAATGCAGAGAGTTTTTGAATTTGTTTATTTCCATATTTCCACTCTTTCAGAATGAAAAAATAAATGCCACATATGCCAGTCATCTAATCTCAGAGGGATATGAGTTCGACCATGAATACAAATCTCTTCATTTCTAGAAGAAAGGTTTGAAACTTAACCTGTTGGAGAGTATGGAAATAAACAAATTCTATTCTATTCTATTCAATATATTCATTTTATCTAAACTTGGGATCAATCAGCTGTATATGGTTTAGAAAAATAACTATTGATATTTTCGTACAGCGCCATCAACCCGCAAATAGATCGAGCAATAATGTCGATATATCAAGGAAGTTACGTACAGCGCCATCTGCCCTCGAATAGATCAAGTAATAATGTTGGTGATTCTGTCAAATACAGAGCTTGAGAGCTACAAACATACACAACAACATACATACATACATACAGATTAAGCTAATATAAAGCGTGTAAAAAAATAGCATTCGGTTGGTTGCACCATTTTCAGGTAACTAAGGTATTTTTTACAAAAAATATGTAATGAAATGCTAGGTAAATGTACTTTTGGTACCTGAAATAGATACCTGAAATAACAAAATGTTACCTACCTACATTTTATCCATACCAATACAAAAACTATGATTTCAAAAACCATACCTACTTCTGGAATAGTACAACTTACAATGGATTCTAAACTAGTTGTCAAAATTCATAAATTCAAAAGGAGAGAACTGCAGAGTTCTAGGCGGTTATTGAGAATTGATTTTAATGTAATGATACTATGTTTTATCCGCGGCCTCGCTCGCATTTATGTCATTAAGTAAGTGTCAGAACAATAGAAATGGATCAATATGAGAACTATTTTTCAATGCTTGGTTGAAATTATTAAAACATTATTAAAAATTAACGGCCACCATCAATCGTATTTTGACTAAAAACTACTATTAAAGTTACTCAGGACTGGGAATTATAGAAATATTCCATATTCAAATTGATTCAGGAGAAATCAGCATTGAAACAAGGATTACTGTGATACAGAAATTTCAAAATAGGAAAAATAAGAATGTTCGTTGTATTGGGGTACCTTTTTTTCTAAGTTATTAGATGAGGTACTTCATTTGTTGAATACGTGTTGAAGAAATAAAAACAGTTCACAAAATAATTAACGACATTACCGTAATGAAAAATTGTTGTGACTGATGATGTTTGCTTCTACAAATGAAACGCTATAAAACTCTAAAGTATGATATTGCAATGTTCTGTGATTTGATCAATATTTGTAATGGAAGATACAGGTCCGTATTTGGAAGAAAAGTTGATAGTAGCCGTGGTGATCGAAAATGTATTGTTATTAGTTATAGTAGGTACATTTTGAATACGATAAAAAATGTTTTTATTTTGTCATATTTCTGAAATAAAGTCTTATTCATGAAAACAGCGACAACATTTTCAGTTTTCCCTGTATAACTGACAATTGTACTGATCCTCATGATAATCACCTTGTTCCCATTCAATCGTTTTCATATTATCTGTAACAGTTTAGAGTATAGCAAAGTTACCACTTGATATAATAAAAGGCCTGTATATGGCGTGTCTATTTAAGTTGGCAACATATGGAACACTTTTTTAATAATGATTCAACGGAATGTAGAATCTGAAATACAGTCATCAGATATTGAATTCTCTCTGTCATACAAGATGTTTTAAATTCGATCCTCACCATTGGGATCTCGGAAACTATTAGAGATACGAAGATGGTTAAATCGGGGTAGAGTTGTGCATTTACTTCGACTAACCATATGCCGTTGAGAAAGTTCTGAAATTCCACGTATATCCGGAGATATCCGGAAAAAACAGAAATTTCGGAAAATGGTTTTTATTTTCTTGTGGCTTTATTTTTCGAAGAATTTGGAAATAAATTACACTTGAACATTTCTACTTTTTCCTGCAACATAATGGTGTTTTCAGATTTGCTATGCGACGTTTCGTCTTCCGGTCACCATCATCAACTTCATTTTTTCTTATGAGCGCTAGATTGGATTCTTTCTGTTTTGAATATAACCAAATTTTGATGTATCATACGTTATCATTCTTATCATAATAGGCTTTGACTTTGATGTTTCTAAATTTGACTTTCAATTTTTTACACTAAATGACATTTTGTTATTGTACGAGTCATTGAATTTTTGGCAAAAAATAGCTTTCACGAATGGAGAAAAAAGAGATATGAAACAAATATATTACAAATACGATAGAAACAGTGTTAGGACATCGGAAATGTATTTAAACTTGTATCCCGGAAGACGACAACCACATCGAACTATGTTCAAATCATTGGATCAAAATCTCGCCGAGTTTGGTTCGCTTGAAAAGCCAATGAAAAAATACGGAGACAGAATCAACAATCAAAATTTGATAAATGAAGTATATATGAGGTGAATTATTGGACATAGTGTCATTTTCAATGAAAATGGAACTTTGAACGAATAACAATAATTAACTTAAATGTAGAGACAATAAATACTATATCGCATTTGGGGTCGAATTTCTCGGAACTGTCTGGGGTTGTTTATGCTCCAAATGTGTTCGTTATTTCGGTTGAATATCCCACAGTTTGTGAAAGTGCTTTCATCTGTCCAAATTACATTTTCCAGGAAAACAGGAAAATCAGGTCTTCTCATTAGCCAATCACAAAATCCTAATCGGCTATCGGAATCACATGGAGGCAATTTCNTCTTTTTTGAAACATAATTTTCAAAATAAAATCAAAATTATAATGAATTTGAAATCAAGAGCAATTGCCATTTTTATAACAATTAATTGTTTTCATCATAGTGCTGGGAAACCCTGTACAACTACATGCATTTGTTAATATGTGTGCATTATTCAAAATTCGAGTCCAGAAACATAATGATAATAATCCAGTGTATTCATAATCATAGCTATCAATATACCAGAGCTACAGGGAGAAATCATATCGAAATATTGATTGAATAATTTGATATTCATGAGAGGTTTATATCAACGTCGATATCACAATTAAATATCCGTATCACAATTGTTCATCGATTTCAGTTATATCAAATTGTCGAAGTCTCTCAAAGAAAGGAAATTGATTGGTATGTACTTACCGGTTCGGACAAGTTTGAAGGAAACGGCATTGTGAGATTTGAGATGTTCGTTGTACGCTGGATGTATCAGATCTCTGAGAGGTGATTCATTTCCTGCCATTCTGATTTCTGTTTCGGACGATCGTTTTGCTCGTTGGCTGCTGAAGAACGCTCTCTTCTTTGTCGGCGACTTTTCTACGAAAAAAATTATTATATGCAAACAAATCGAGATGAATTTGTAAATTGAATAGTCAAGAATCCTTTTTGAAAAGGGTGGGGATTTCGAAAATTCAGCCACATTCTAACATACTTATGAAATATTCATACAATTTTCCAATTAAAAAGAAAATTTTTTTTGAAGTGTTGCTTCTCTCAGAAAAAAGTAGAAGGTTTGGAGGTGATTGACGGTGTTACATGATGAATTTCATTAGTTTGAACTTCCATCATCTGATATTATATAAAATAATTTAAAAATCCCTGGAAGAACTTAAAAAAGGAAAATTAAAATAGGATAGATGAAAATAACGAGTATATTGATCAAGAAATCCTGAAATGAAATAACAGTGAGAACAGAGAAGCCCACAAGAAACCTCGTGTCTGGTTGAGATACGTTGACGACACCTTCATAATATGGAACCATGGGAATACTGAACTAGAAGCTTTCCTGAAATACATCAACAGCGTAAGACTTTCCATCACTTTCACAATGGAGAAGGAAGTCCACAACGAATTGCAATTCTTAGACGTGTTGGTGAAAAGGACCGACACTGAGTGGAAAGCATCTATATATCTAAAACCCACTTACATGGGACAGTATCTGAACCACGAATCCAACCACCATCAATCGACTAAAAGAGGAATTATCTAGACTCTATTAGACCGTGCTTTCGGTCTCTTCAATATGCAGGAAGGTCTCGAAAAGCAACTAGACATCATCAAAAATAACTAGTTTAGTGATCCAATAATTTTTCTGAAAAAGGGGGGTTGGTTGGGTAACAGGATCAGTTTTTCTTAAGAAAACAATTGTATTCTTGCCGACGTTTCGAATTTAATTAAATTCTTCTTCAGGGCTCTGTAATAATGAATTTCCATGAATATACCTTACACAAAACTTATTTCAATTTCACAAGAAATAATGAGTTCTCATTTGAATTACTCACCGAAAAGTAGTTTTTTCGTGTTGATGCTAATACTATTTTAAAAATATTAAACATATTAGATACGTATTTGAAAAATAAACACATTGCAAACAACAAATTTTCGAGACAACACCAACGACAGAACTTGAAACAAAAAACTAAAACACCACAAGAAATACAATCCAATATTGTTCACAAATTGAACTGTGGAAGCTGTCACAAATGCTAGTTTGGTCAAACCGGACGGTATCTTGAAACACGAGTTTCAGGACACATGAGAGACTCTAAGAAACTGAATATGATAAATCCCACAGCTCTCGTTGAACATGAAAAAGAATATGGACACATATTACATATGGAAATTACATATGGCAATGTAATTTCAGTTTTTTTGTTTTAATAAAATTGTTATTTTCGGTTATTCTTTCTATTTCTGACAGGGATTTCAAATCAATTTATATTATATTTGACAATGGAAGTCCGAACTGATGAAATACACCACGCCACACCACCTTAAAAAAAACTGAAAGTGGGACCGTAACGCATAATATAAACCAAACCAGAAACAAATGTCCTTTGGAAGGCCAAATGCTTGAAAAGCAAAAAAGTAGGAGTGCAACACAAAAAAAATAATTTGGGATACAAAACTTTTTACTACAAAGCAGAATATAGAAGTAACATCATTCAACAAATTCGACTCTGATAAACAACTCCTTCTACAGTGGTTTCGGGATACAAAAAGCGACCATCCCATCTCCATTTCTCCAGTGAACTGATCACTTGTTCAGGCTTCTCATTGTCTTATAAATTTCACGGGACAGCACCTTATCCATTTGCTTTTTGAGAACGAGGAGGTAAGCCACGAGCTGGGCAGCATAACGTTTCCTACTATCATGCAGAGGTCTCTCATCCCAATTCCATTCGGTAGTATTTCTATTTTCGAATAAGAACAAAGGAAATTTCAGGTACTTCACTACGCATTCAGGTAAGGTTTTCCCTTGGAAGCGCACTCTATTATTCTTGTCTATAAGCGAGTCAGCAATCCAAGTGTCAAACACATTTGTAGTGAAGATATTATAGTTACTGCGAAGAACGTCAACTAGTTGTCTGGCATGGTGTATGACTTTGCAGGTGTGTGGTAATTCGAATAGATTCTTCACTGCTTGATGAACGTGCCAATTCTTTAAAAGAACCATGTCGAATAAGTATACACGTTTCCATGTGCATAGAGCGAGAAGTTTAACAGTAGCTGCCAGATTATTTTCCAATCCCAATTCTATTACACCAATTGTTTCTGCTCCAGATAGTTTTTCAATGTCCTCATGATACTGCCTATCTTGTTGCTCCACAAGAACGTAATCAGTACACATGTCCTTCAATTGTCGGTATTCCTCTGCAGTTGACTCAATTTTATTGTATTCTTTAGCACCTTCCACGTCTGCGGAACCTTTAAACTCATGAATTCTCCTGATTTCTTTTCTATAAAATGCACACACTCCTTGGAGTTCACTTCCGTGGTTCTGAAACTTTGTGTTCACCAATTCCAACCGATGTTTGCCTCCAGTCAAGTAGTTCCCTTCGACTGTATTATGATCATACAGGTTCAAGATGAAGTAGTCACCATGTTTGGAAACTTCATTATAAGGCACCCTCGCATCAATGTTGTGAAAATTGTGATAATTTTGTAAACTTGCTTTGAGCACAAAATGTCTTCCCAGAAGAGTAAATAGCCAGTTAAACTTTGAAAAGAATAATGAGTATACCAGATTAGTACTATTGTATTTATGGTGATGCCCCCCTCTTCTGATCAACTAATTATCATAGTAAATTCCAGTAATTTCACGAATTGAGGTGAAAAGATGTAGATGGTCATATTACTTCATCGACAGTTCAATATTTTTTTTACGTGAGTAATTCAAAGAATCAGAGGAAAAATTAAAATCACAAACGTTTGTGGATTGAAGGAAGGAATCAAACAAAAACCTGCGCATTCAGCTAAGAACAAAGTGTTGTTTCATCAAGATAATGCACCAGCATTGATTAAAATCATCGAATTAAAGTTTGAATTGCTACATCATGCACCCTATTAGACAGATTTAGCCCCCTTAGATTATTTACTGTTCCTAAACTTGAAAAAATGACTCAGGAGTCAAAGATTTTTCAACTATGAAGAAGCGACGTCCGCAGTTATTGGTTATTTTGGGTAATAAGATCTTTCTGCTTATCTTTAGTTGGAGGCGAAAACAGTTCGATTGACTTAGCTTGCTTGATTTTCAATGTTCAACAAAGCGATGCATTGCTTAGGGTACCTTTTAGAAACCTTCATTCAGACAACGATATTTTTTTGAAATAAACTTCTTGGCATTGTCTTGTTGATCAAAAGTTATCTTCAGCGATTCAAATTCACTGTTCTCTTCAAATCATTTGAGTATTTCATTTTCATATGATCGTATTCGTGAAGCATATAATAAAGATGCAAATTTCTTGTCCACAAAAGAAAAACATTACGTGAATGAAAAAAGACTGTCATAAATAATTGATACGCTTGGAAATTCCCTATAGTCGAGCTAACCTAATTTTCGACTCTAGGGAAATAGCGCTTACCGCTTGGTTTTATGTTTCGGGACGATCAAATTAAAATTTCACGTCAGTAATTCTATATTAGGTTCATCCACGTGGTAGTTTAATTGCGGTATTGAGTATCTGTCGGAAATGGAAGATGAATATCCATTTCTAGGTGTTCCTGTCTGGCAGGTAGTTTGGGCATTTCATAGACTGGAGAAATGCACCGATCATTTTCCCATATTGATAGTCCCTCTTCTTTGTAATGATCGTGTACAATTCTGAGTTTTAAGATGAATTTAATAATGTTATCTTCAAAATTCATTATTTTTGGTAATGATGGTCTGGCCAGAGTATACAGAAGAAGGAATAAACGTTTTATTTCCTGCTGCTCATCTTCAAGGTTCCCAGTTGGAGGTGGAAACAAAAACAGTACTACTACGAATCACACCTGTGCTTCTTAGAGGACCTGCTGGGGATATTCCGCACTCTTTAATGAAGCATCAACCTGTATCATGCTTGAGGAAGACTTAGCTAACAGATTACAACTTCCAGGACCGGTTGTTCCACTCTGTTTCCAATGGACTAATGAAATAATCCACCACGAATATCGTTCAAGAACCGTGCAGAATTTGCGACTTCTATCTCAAGGAATAGATGTTGATAACTTGAACGAAAAATATCCTTATTTAGACCGTGATCTATTGGCATCAATGAGAAATGCTAAACCGGAGCTGTTGATCGGTCAGGATAATTGTGGCCTCATAGTACCAAGAAATATCATCCAACCACAACTGCATCAGCCCATTATGTCTCAATGTAAATTAGGAAGGGCGGTGCATGGTTCTACCAGTGGAACTGAAACCTTTCTTTCCCATGTAACTCTTTGTTGCAGACATTTGAATAATGACAAACTGCATGAAATGGTAAAGGATACTTTTCGTCTTACCAGACAATTTCCAGACGATGTTATCAAATCAATCGAAGACAAAAGGGCTGTGGAGATCATGGAAAGAAATCTGAAGGAAGTCGGTAATCATTACCAGATAGGGCATCTATGGAAACGCGACAACCTTACTCTACCGCCTAGTAAAACTAATGCCCTGAATCGTCTCTATTGTATGAAACGAAAAATGGACGAGGATACCAAATTTGCTGAAGAGTATACTGCAAAGATTACTGAGTATCTCCAAAAAGGATACGCCAGGAAGGTACATACATCTGAAGTTCAGAATAATAAAAACAACTGGTATCTTCCACACTTTGGGGTTGCGAATATCAGCAAAACTGGAAAGATTCACCTGGTTTTTGACGCTGTGGCAAAATCTCAAGGTGTGAGTCTTTACGATTTCCTTTGCCAAGGTCCTGACTACGTTCCATCTTTGATATCTGTCTTGTCGCGATGTAGACAGGAAAAAATTGCTTTTGGAGGTGATATCAGAGATATATTTCATAGAGTTCCAATTATTGAGGAAGACAGATGTGCACAA